CCCTCCCCTGAACTGCCCTGGGGCTCTCTGCTCTCCTCCATCTTTCTCCTCTCTCTCAAGCCCCTCTCCCTCACTTCTCCTCCCCTGCCCCTGGGTCCCGCTTCCCGTGTGCCACCATGACCGTGATGGCCGGAGAGAACATGGATGAGACTTCTGCGCTACCTGGCCACCCCCAGGATAGCTACCAGCCAGCTGCCCATGATGACCATGAGTGCTGTGAGCGCGTAGTGATAAACATTGCTGGACTACGCTTTGAGACGCAGCTGAAGACCTTAGCCCAGTTCCCCAACACTCTGCTGGGCAACCCCAAGAAGCGCATGCGGTACTTTGACCCCTTGCGCAATGAGTACTTCTTTGACCGGAATCGGCCCAGCTTTGATGCCATCCTCTACTACTATCAGTCTGGGGGGCGGCTTCGCCGGCCGGTCAATGTGCCCTTGGACATGTTCTCTGAGGAGATCAAATTTTATGAGCTGGGTGAGGAGGCCATGGAGAAGTTCCGGGAAGATGAAGGATTCATCAAAGATGAGGAGAGACCCTTGCCGGAGGGGGAGTACCAGCGCCAAGTATGGCTCCTCTTTGAATACCCAGAGAGCTCTGGGCCTGCAAGGGTCATTGCAATAGTCTCTGTCATGGTGATCCTCATCTCCATCGTGATCTTCTGCCTAGAGACATTACCTGAGCTGAAGGAGGACAAGGAGTATACAGTGCATCGCACTGACAACACCACACAGGTCTACAAATCCAACATATTCACAGATCCCTTCTTTGTTGTGGAGACGTTGTGCATCATCTGGTTCTCCTTTGAGCTGGTGGTGCGCTTCTTTGCTTGCCCCAGCAAGACTGACTTCTTCAAGAATATAATGAACTTCATTGACATTGTAGCCATCATCCCTTACTTCATCACCCTGGGCACTGAGATGGCCGAGCGGGAGGGGACTCAGAAAGGAGAGCAGGCCACCTCCTTGGCCATCCTGAGGGTCATCAGACTGGTAAGAGTCTTTCGAATCTTCAAACTCTCCCGGCACTCTAAGGGCCTCCAGATTTTGGGACAGACCCTCAAAGCAAGTATGAGAGAGCTAGGTTTACTAATCTTCTTCCTCTTCATTGGGGTGATCTTGTTCTCTAGTGCGGTATATTTTGCTGAGGCTGAAGAACCTGAGTCTCATTTCACAAGTATCCCTGATGCTTTCTGGTGGGCGGTGGTATCCATGACCACTGTGGGATATGGTGACATGTACCCTGTGACAATTGGAGGCAAAATCGTAGGCTCCTTGTGTGCCATCGCTGGTGTGCTGACAATTGCCCTGCCTGTACCTGTCATCGTGTCCAACTTCAACTACTTCTACCACCGAGAAACAGAAGGGGAAGAACAGGCTCAGTTACTTCATGTTAGCTCCCCTAATTTAGCATCTGACAGTGATCTCAGTCGCCGCAGCTCATCCACAATCAGCAAATCTGAGTACATGGAAATCGAAGAGGATATGAATAATAGCATAGACAATTTTAGAGAGGCTAATCTCAGAACTGGCAACTGTACTGTAGCCAACCAAAACTGCGTTAATAAAAGCAAGCTGCTGACTGATGTGTAAACAAAAAAACCAAAATCCCCGCTCACAGCTTGAAGAATTTAGTGACACAGTCACACTTTGTAGATGCTTTACTGATAGTCTTTGAATGCTTTATTTACCTCGTAAATGCATTGTTGCATTGCGAATTTTTGCTCAGCGATAAAGAAGCTTCCAGGATCCATGAAAGATAAGATTTTGTTTATTTTTAAAAAGCATTTTCCACCTGGTAAATGATAACCATTTGAAATAGTTTAGTTTTAAGCTATATGACACTAGACCTAAACTTTTCCTCTCCCATGTCCCTTTTTTTTTTTTGATCAAGTTAACCTAAACTAAGCAAGACAGTTTTTAGAGCTATAAAGCATATGCATGGATTGCAGTAAAAATATTCTGCAAAACTGCGCAGTTGCAAGAAAGTGCATCAGATAATAATAATAAAAAAGATTAGCAAAAACCTCCTGCAAGCATTTGCCATGGTTTTTATGAAGGAGTGTAAATTTTCCTTCCACCCCCTATGTGAAAGATTTACATACTTACAATCTACAGATCAACACAGCACCTTATTAAAAACATACTTAAGCCTGGTTTCTTTTGCTGTTCATAGAAGAACTATTCTAAAAGGAAAATAACAAACAAAACTGATGACAAAACATCTGCAATGCTGCTAAGTTCTGTTACATGCAGATGATTTAAACACACTTTTCCTTTTCCCTGTCCAGAACTGGATACAAAAACTTGTAAGTCCCTCTGTTGCAAGATAGCACAATGGAGTTTAATATAAGCATGTTTGAATTTGATACTATTTATTTTATAATCGCATGCCTGAAACGTTACCTCAGACAATAGCAGATAAGCTTTCGTTTGAACTGAATCTTCTAAAAATAGGTCCTTTATCTCTCTTTTTTCTTTTCTTTTTCTTTTTGATTTGCATTCACCAGAAGTGCACTCCTTAATTTATTAAATCATTGACTAGTAATTTAAAGTACTGTATTTAAGTGCATATGTTAGTCAAATGGGAACAATAACTTTTGGAGATCAAAGCATGTTCAAATATTCAGCATTATGGCCTATTTGATTAAGGTGTAACTTGAATTAATTAATGCATGAATTCAATAATAATAATAACAATAATAATAATAACAATAAAAACAAAATTAAAAAAAGTGCTTGATAGACTGAGGGACTGAGTGAACTGATTAGAGAAACCTGATTGTTTTCCTGCATTGCTCAGGGAAATGTGTTGGCTTTTGTCCAGGCATTGTCAGAAAGGAACATATCCCATCCCTTAAAGGGAAAGCTATATGGAAAATTAAGAAGTCAAGTTATATATAGCAACACCTAAAACCTAGTATCCTTTATAGTTGGAAGGTGCAGATGCATGCTTTTTGGTGCATTCTCAGAATGTAAATGAAACTTATCTATTATATGCATCCAAATTGCAGCAGCTGGTTTCTTTTGCAGTCATTAGTTGAAACTTTTTTTGTATTCCCCTAAAATTCACTGAAGAGACTCAAGAGATTGATTAGATAGTTGTACAGTGCCTTTATCTTATATCCCCTAGTTTGCAGAAAGTGCCTCCAGGAACTGAGCTGACCAGAGATGGGGAAGGGAAGGGCAAGGCACCAACACGCTGTCAGGAGTGTTCTGTGCTGCCTCCTGGCACAGCACAGAAGCGGGTAGAGAAAGAAAGAAAGAGCAAGTGTGAGTGCGAGGGACGCAGAAGAGGCAGGCAGAGACCACCAGCACCCATGGGATACCTTCCTTCCCCTGCTAGTCCAATGATGCAGGGCTCAGCATTTCCTTCTGACAAATTACTCATAGTTGTGTTTATGCAAGACTTCAAGTTTCCCTAGGTTGTTTATAGAGACCTTGCTGCCATCGTTGCACCTGCCCTTCCTTTTTCTGAGATGGCTTTTTGGCAGCCTGTCCTAGCGTGGCAGGATGCAGGAGGAACTACAGACCAGCACGAACTGCAGCATTGCCTGGGCAGGCAATCAGACTGCAGGGCTGTGCTTTTCTTTCCCTTGGGTTCCCCAGCAGGTAGGTGAGAGAGGCTTTCCAGTGCCCTTTCATCCCTGCCTCCTCCATCCCCTTTCGGCAGTCTGTCAGCTCTTAAATCCCATCACAGATCCTTTGAGTCATATTCTTCTTTCTGGTCCCTAAGCTTACTCTACTTCTACCATCATTTGGTAGAGGAAGCAACGCTAGGAGAAGGTATCTTCTGCAATATGCCAGCCTTGACTGCTAGGCCCTGGAAGATAATAACCTTTGATCTGAGCTAATGTAGGCACTAATCTTTATTTTTTAAATAGACAAAGTTGAGGATCTTCATTCTGCACTTACCATGTGGCCAACTGCTGTTGAACACTTCTCCTTTCACACTGTACAGATCACATGCGTATGTCACACGCAGACGCAGACACACGTGTATATAAAATCAAGGCACTTAAGAATGAAAAAAAAATCCCAACCCTAACTCTGCAGTTACGCACAAGCCTGATCTGCCAGGTTTCCAGAAAGACTTGACTTTGTTTTTCACTGTGTGGCTTCTGTGAATCTTAACAATGAGAAAGCGACCAAGAACTGAGGGAGCTCTAACTCCTCCGAGAAATGCAAAGCGTCAGATAAAACAGGGCATTACATCCTCTGGGTACATGTTGTAAAGCTTCCTTCCTGTCCGCTATTCATGCCCATCTTACGCCTCTGTCCCCATTAAGTTCTGGTGGTCCTGATCTTCCCAAACTCTTGACTTCTAGGCTATGACTCTTCATGCCAAAACGGACTTGAGTGCTGCACTCAGCTTGTCAAACAACCAACCAACTAAACAGCAATAATCAAATCAGTGCTGTGGGACTGATGATCAGAAAGCAGCGTCTGGGAGATGAGGCCTCACTTCAGTACCTTCTGCCATAGCTGGGTATGCAACCTTAGCATAATGAGCAGAGTGATAATCATTCTGCATACGTAAAAAGTGCTGCATGCAGCGATTCTTTTTTTGTCAGGAGACCAGGATGGATCATTAGGACTCGGGGTGGTTTGGGGAGCCTGAATGTTGCTTTGTCCATTTATAGCTCACTGCAAAGGATCTCAATTACATATGGAGTATAGGAATTAACCTCATGTAGCATAGGCGTGTGTTTCCGGCAAGTTTGACACAAAAGAAAAACCCAAACAGAAAAACTCTTACTCCCTTTACACAGGAGTGCTGAAATGTCTTTGTGGATCTGAAGGTGCACTTAATAAGCTGCCTGTTGTTACCAGGAAGCATCCTTTTCTTTCTTTTTTTTTTTTTTTCTTTTTCTTTTTCTTTTTTTTTTTTCTTCCCGTTTTGGCATATATTTCTTTTTGCCACACATGAGCTCTATGGGGTTCTTTGTGTCAGTGGAATAGGACTGGAAATGAGCTGATGGCCAATTTGGTGGGTCTCTGAAAGAGAGAAGAGACCTTAACATTTGGCAGGGACCTCCCAGAAGTGATGCCCCTGTTATGCTGGACAGAGAAACCAGGAGATATGACAGTCTTAGTTGGGCTGTGGTTTGATGAGGCAAGGCAGCAATTCCAGCATAACGAGTCACTACCCAAGCCTCCTTTACGAGCCGGTGCTCTGTTTTGCCTTCTTAGTTGCCCCCATGCAGCTTTTTCTTCATCCACTCAGTGAAGGGGATGAGGGAACTTACCTGGCGTGAGCAAAGCAGCAGTGCACTGCAGTGCGGAGGCAGGAGTGGAGAGGCAGTGGGCAGGAATCCCGTAGCCTGGTATCTCTGCCAAAATTCCCCATCTGGTTGCACCGTCCTTAGCTACAGAGCACTAAGGAACAGGCAGAGGAGCAAGTGAAAATGAAAGGCTCTCTGTACCCCCTTCCTTCACAGATCTGAGAGGTTGCTGCCAAACTGCCAAGAGCTCAAATCCTCTGTTTGGCAGGTCCAGCAGAGACAATGAACTGGATTTACTTGTCTTCATGAGGAAGTTAGTGTACAGTAAGCCGGGGTGTGAGTTCACAGCATCCTAGCAAACCCATGCAGATTCCCTGCATGGAGTCTCTTAAGCCTTACCTCCACTGGGGACTTCAGGAAAGCTAATCTGAATTAATGAAAGGTGCACATTTAAAGTAGATTTGTTAAACTGCTTTAAAGCCCAGCATGGACATTCTGTTGCAGTATAAAAGCAACCTTAATCTGATTTAGAGTCATTCTTTTTGGAAGGAAAGTAAGCTGAATTGAATTAAGGCTGCTTTAATACTGGACACAATGGGGCTTAATGCAGTTTACCTCATCTGCCTCACAAGTTCATTCAGATAGATGAGCCTTTAGTAATCATTAAATGTAACGGAACTGACCCTACTTTGCGGGGGGTTGCTGGGTACAGTGTGGCCATGTGCTATAAAACTCTTAGTACGAGAGTGCTGGAAACTCACAGCCTGGCTTACTGAGGGCTAAGGTGTTGTTCCTGGAAACAGTTCCAGTGATTTCCTTCCGTTGTTCCTGGTTTACATGGTTGTAGGTGTGAGGAGAATCCATCTCGCTGCCTTCTGGCAACTTATACTGACAAATTATCATGGTCTAAGAAAATTAATTTCCCCTTACAAAGTCTGTAACTGTGCACGTGCTTAGCCTGATACACTGTTGATCATGTGAACAAGCAATTGAAAGGCAGTACGAAGCATTAGAGACAGAAGAAAACTTAGCAAAAGTCTTCTTGCTTTCAGCAGTGATTTTGCCCAAGTCGAGATTTCAGGGATCAGACCCTTCTTAGCAAATCAGCTGTGTATCATTTCTTAGAGGTTGCATTGGCCCAAATAAAGAATTGGAGCAGTGGCAACTTTTACCGAGAAGTTTTTTTACTAAGGGACAATTGTTTTCATTAGACAGAAATACAGAAAGTTTGTTTCTATTATGAGAGAGCTGAGGCCCAAATGTAACATAAAAACCTTCTTATTTTTAAGGAACTGAGGGCAAGTTTCACTTTTCCATAGTTCACACTTTCACAGGGCAGTTTCTTATATGCACATATATCAGCTGAAA